GAAAGCCAGCTTGATTTGTCCATACCGTCTTTTCTTCCAACAAATGTTTTCAATGTGGTTTACTCAAAGTAGTACACCTCAATCTCATGCAAATGTTTAGGGTATCTCAATCTCAGCATGTGCATGAAAACTTGGAAGAGTAAAGACCCACATTTTTAGTCATCTAAAAAAACAATTTTCCTTCTAGAAACTTCACTGGAAATCCTCTCGTTAGTCATCAAGTTTATTGTCTAAATTAGGAATCTCTTAAGCATGAAAGGGGACAGTGTTGATAATTATGCCAGAAAACCAAGCAGAAGAAACCTAAGCAAACTGACACATGGGATCACTCTTCTCAGTTTGCAACACCTGCTTTGGACTCCATAGAAAATGTGTCCTTGGCCTCCAGAGGTTGGCCTAATTTCGTTGCTGGCCACTCTTGGAGCATGTTTGGCAACACTCTGTGGAAATTCCTGGCAGACTGGAGAGGCCCACACAGTTCAGTTCCTTCTAAGACTTAGCTCTCCTGCCCACTTTGACCTCAGGCTCATGGCTCCAGGCTGAATGAAGCTTATCAAGAAGGATGACTGTCCATCAGTGGTGATGCAGGTGGCACCCCTCTGACACAGGACCTGGTATATAACATCTGTTAGTGGAGTCCTCTGTTTCTTCTTCAGTTGTGCTCTCCTCTTTCAGAATCTGCTCAAAGATCTTTCTTCCTCTTTTCATTAAATTAAGCCACTCCTTCACGCTAGAACTTGGCATTTTCGATGCAAAATGTGGGGGAGGGGCAATGACTCCCATCATAGTGCAGGGCATTACCAATGAAGATCAAACCAGTTTGCACAACTAGCAAAGACCTATCATGTAGCAGTAGTAAATTTTACACTTGGCATTTGGATAAGGAACAAAGAGAGTTTGGGAGCATTACAAAATAATGAAAACGCAGGCTTTTGAAATGCAAAAATCTAAAACCCTTTCAAGGAAGCAAATTATACAGTAGTACATAAGAAAAAAGGTGGAAGGAGAGGCTGTGGTAGTGGGAGCATAAAGCAAAATGTTTAATAGATAAAGAAAGATGAAAAAAGGTGACTGTCAGGTGCCTTATCCCTTAGCTAGAGCCACCCAGGTACTCATGAAAGACCAGAGGAAAAGCTGCTGGCTTTATTCTTTTGACAAAGATGTGCCAATGTGGCAGAAAGAGTAAGTGTGAGGTTGATAATAGTTCCTTCTCATTTGCCACTCAGCCTAAATGGTTCAGTGCAGAAAAGGCCCTTGCAGGAGACCCAGGACATGTGGTTTTGACAGGATCTACGGTGGCAAGAAAAGAGACAGGAACATAGAAGCAAAGGGGGCTGATGCATTATTTACAGTTAGAGAACTTGAACAGGCCCCACAGCAGGGATTGCCTCAAAGACTTGTGCCTGTAGGGCTGCGGAATAAAGACAGACATCTTTGAATTCTCTCTATCACTCTTTTTTTGGCTCCTGGGGAACCGTACCAGAGCTGGAGCAGCCTGCATACATCTCCTCTTACTGTGCTGCCATCTGCCTGGCCACCGCTCACCTTTCCCCCAGCCCAGGAGGGGAAAAGGCCTCCACTGAAAACTGCCTGGCCCCTGTAAGTGAAATTTTGTGAGGCTGGCATCAAGACCATTTCGCTGGTGGTGACAGGTCTGGTAAGAGTGCAGATGGCATGATACACACACAGCCACACATGCAAGCACACACGTGCACATTCCCTGAACTCACACAGTAAGAAAAGGAGGGACTTGGGGAATCTAATCCAGAAGGAACAAAGGCTGCAGGCTATGCGGTGAGCTGAGGGAGAGTGACAGGAGGACAGCTAAAGCAAACGAAAAGCAAAGTGTGAAAACCCACAGCAAACGCTGCCAGAGAGCATATGCATTGGACTTCACAGCTTCTTCCTGTTTCCAGCTTACATTTGCTCCATATGCTGCTTTACACAGCTTTCCGTGGCCATAATGGGTTTTATTCCATAGTTTTTATACTATCATGAATGACTCACATCTGCTCCAGTACCCAATTTGCTCTCTAATGTCTTCGGCTGTGTGGAGAGAACAGCTTATACAGAAGTTACCAATGACAAGAGTGGCACAAAGAATCCAAATCCAGAGAGAAGGAAGGGTAGACCCCTAAATGGACGAGCTGAGGGTTTTTTTTTTTTTTGCAAGAACGTGATGTTACACAGGGGAAAATTGAGACCCAGAGTAATAAGCTGGCTCAGGAATCATGACCAGGAGGTGTAGGGCTGCAGGAGAGTCTTAATTCAGAGCATACTTATTTTTCTCATTTCCTGCCATGTTAAATCTTTTGCTAGGAGCTTTTCTTCCCCATATTGGCTGTGATGAGAAAAAAGTAGCTTGGATTACTCACCAATGATCGCTAATTCCCCAGTGGGATCAACAGAGCTACATATTACTTAAGCTGTTTCTCTCTCTCTCTCTCTCTCTCTCTCTCTCTCTCTCTCTCTCTCCTCCCCCCGCCCCGTGTGTGTGTGTGTGTGTGTGTGTGTGTGTGTGATCCACCTTATTTTTTTCTTTTTAGGCAGGTTTGCTTAATGGCCTGAAATCACCTAGTAGGCTTAGCTTGCTCACCAGTGAACCTAGGGATTCACCTGTTCCCATCTCCTGAGTTCTGGGATTACAAGAGTGTAGCTTTTTATTTTTATTTATTTTTTAATTTTTTGATGTGGGTTCTGGGGTTGGATCTTGGGTCCTCATGCTTGCAAAGCAAGCACTTTACAAACTGAGCCATTTCCCCAACCTTAAGCTGGTTATTAAAGAGTTTTAAATATCTTTCCAAGCATGGGGGCCTCTAGATATGTTAGGTCCCAGGAGAGCTCTGCAGTGCTGGAACCTGCATGAAGACTCACCTGGCTTTCAGATGTTTAAATACTTGCCTGAAATCTATTTCAACCATAATGACATTTACTGATCTGACAGCCTACACCAATATGCCCTTTGTTTGGTTCAAGTAATGACACTTAGCAAAACTGAATCCCCTTGACAGTTTTCCGTGGCCCAGGGACTTTTCCCTATGTGAATGGAGGACAAAATAATGATTCAAGAAGGAATCAGTTTGGAAGGAAATGTCCACTCTCCCTAGTATCTCAGTCCCCACAGTGGAGCTGTCTCACCACAGGGCCTCGGTTTCCCCATATGCCAAACAGTCAGAATGAGGCACCCTCAGCAGCAGGCAGTGTGGGGCTGCACCATCTCCAAAGCTTGGCGGTGGTGTTGTGTAACTGTCTGCCATCTGTTACTCTGAAGCAGCATCACAAAGCGCTGAGCAATGGACTCAGTGCTGCAGCTCCTGCCTGGAGCTCAGAGTCACACAGCAGCTTGCCTGGGGGTCCCCTGCAGAGCCTGCTGCAGAACACTTTGCAGGCCCAGTACTGCAGGTCCATGGTGAGGTTCCTGGAAGAGATCCAGGGAGCTCAGAAAGCTGCAGGAATGGGTGCTCTTGCCATGTCCCACCTGCCCCCAAGACATTTACTTGGGCCTTTGCTAGGCCACAGCAGCATCTAGGGGAACCTACCCAACTTTTTGGTGGTTAGAATCTAACAAAGGCAAGTGCAGACCATCTCCAGAGGTCTGTGTGGGGCTCTGAAATCTCAGCTGCATCTTGAGATGGGCTGGAAAGCTTTTTCTGGCTGTTTGATTTCCAAAACTGTTTCTGACACAAAACTTCTTACCTACAGCCCTGGTTCAGGACTCTCCAGTGCTGGGGGGCAGGGTTGCCTTATGGCTGCAAGACAGGGTACCAAATATTGTAGGCTTTATGTGGGCTCTTCTGTTTCTGAGCACTGTCTTGGCAGCTCCATCATACTGGAGGAGGAATTCTGGAGTGCTCACTGACATCTTCTTCACCTAGTCAGGTGTGGGTACCACCCCTATACTGAGCTCTGGGAAAGGAGATGCAGGAGTTTGGCAGCTGCAGTGCTTGCTACATCTTTCTCACAAGACACTCAGCAAGTACCCCTCAGCTAAAGTGGCACGATTCCAGCGGCTCCTGTGCCCCAGACTGAGAAAAACCATTTCACTTTGCCTTTGAGCCTCAGGTTAGACGACCACCTTGCATCCAGGTTCATAGCTATTTTAAGACAAGGCATCTAAGGCTCAACAAGAAAGGGCTTAGCTATGATATGCATTGCCAGTGTGGCTAGGCTAGGTTAGTCTAGTGACATGGAAGTATCTCAGCCTACCTGAGGCCTGTGTGGGAGCTAGATTCAGGATCATCTTTACCTCTAAATCCAAGTGATTTCCATCTGTAACTGGAAAGATGTACTTCCTAAAGGTGGTAGGAAAAGGTGACTTTGTGAAAGATAATCCTGTGCACCTGGTATCCTCATGCCCAGGGTCACTGTCCCACAGCCCCATGTGGTTAGTCTAAGTTTGGACACCCCCTTTCTGGCAAGCCCAAGGCACTGGTACTTATAAGGAGAGAAAGAAAACCCCTTAGGGAGATCATTGTGCCTTAATTTTTTAAAGGACATCTTTATAGTTAAATTTAGACGAGCTCAGCTTTCCATTAAGCAGAGAAAGTTGTCAGCCACCTGCGCGAAGGCCTAGAAAATACCCCGGGAGTTGGCTGAACTAGACTTTGGCCTTGAATGGCCAAGCAAGTAACCTGGCAGCAGCTGTTTCAGCCCCATTATCGCAGCGTTGTCTTAGGGGTGCGCGGACCCTGGAGAGAGCACCCACAGAGCCAGGGAACTCCTCCCAGGCAGCAAGCACCCGGTGAGGGTTGGCCTTCAGGTCCCAGCTTGCACCTGGGGTGGCAGGTATCCCAGGTAAACCTTTCCTGCCCCGCCTAACATCCACTCTGGATGGTCCCGGAGCTGAGGTCCTTCTACTGCGCGGTGCTGCTCTGTCGGCGGGCGGCGATAGCGCCCCCTCGCAGAGCTGGACCAGAACCCGACTCACTCCCTCCCTGCTCTCCCCCGGAGTCAGTCTGTCTGTCGGGCCCGCCCTCCCCCTACGCTTCCTCCTCCTCGTGCTCCTCCGTGGGTGCCCGGCACAGCCTTGGATTCAGCCTTCCCCGCCGTTCGAGTCAGTTTCCCTCGCGGCGGCTGCGGGCAAAGGCAGCCGCTGGCGGAGCATCTCTGCGGCCACCGCGGCTCTCCGGCTGGACCCGGTGCAGGTTGAGCAGCCCCTCGCCCCTTCCCCGAGGCGTCCGAGTCTCCCGAGCCCCTCGCCTCCCAGTCCCCCGCACCCTTCTCTCCGAAGCCGGCGGGGCGCCGGGCAGGATCCCGACCCCCAACATCGGGATCCCGGGACCAGCGCTCCTCTGGAGCGGGGCGCTCTGGGAGACTGGTGCCCCGCCGCCCCTGACCGCCGGGGGGTGCCCCAGGGACGCGTCGCCGCGGAGAGGAGCAGGCAGAGGGGACCATGCGGCGCCTGACTCGCCGCCTGGCGCTGCCGATCTTCGGGGTGCTTTGGATCACCGTTCTGCTGTTCTTCTGGGTCACCAAGAGGAAGTTGGAGGTGCCGCTGGGACCTGAAGTGCAGACCCCCAAGGTACGCGGTTTGGCGGCGCGCAGGGTGCCGGGAACCCGCCGGCTGGAGGACCAGCAGTCTTCGTGCAGGGTTAGAGGGCTCCGGGCATGCCAGGGCAGGGGGTCTGGGTGCTACGAGCAGGTACCAGGCGCGGGATGCGCCCACCGGGAGCTTTGTGGAATTTAGCAAGCTCCAGTCGTCTCCACATCCGCGGCGTGTCGAAGTGGCAGTGTGTGGGGGTGGTGGGCGCGCACTCGCTAGTGGAGTGGGGCTCCCAACTTAAGCCGCTGTCCGGCAGCCGAGGGGGCGCTGCGCACCCGCAGCCCAGGGGTTGGCGGTGGGTGGACGCAGCCTGAGGGTCCTGGGAGGTTGGGCGGGAGGCATCACTGGCCAAGAAGTCTGGTAGCTGTGCTGATCTCCTGCTACCAGCTGCCAGACGGGAGCAGGGGAGGCTGATGACCTGGGTGCTGTGCGCACACAGGAACTTCCCAGTTGAGCTATCTCCAGGGCTGGTGCCTTCTTGGCCCATCTGGCCTGATGCCACCCGACTCCGCAAACTGTACCCCAGGCTCTTAGCTGTGTTGGAAGTTGGATGTGCCCAAAACACCACTAAGGCGCCTCTAAGAACCGAAGCCTTTGTATTGGCTGGGAATTGGGGAAATGGGAATTCAAGTGACTTTTCCAACTCCTTGTCCAGTCAGTGCAGCCCAGAGGAATGGAAGGTTCCCCCTACAGGCTCTCCCTCGGGATTCTTTCTCTTCCACAGACTTGGACAGGGATATGGAAGCAGACGTCTGGGGGATCTACCAGCAGCCAAGCAACCTTTATGAACTGGGTCCAGGGCAATCACTAGGGAGTGGGAAAAGGCCTTGGAGGAGCTTGTGGTGGGAAAGGGGAGATGAGGAATACCAGTGTGTGAGTGAGAGGGAGTCTCATTACAGTAGGGAGGGCCTACTGTGTTCTGCATGCCTAGTAGGTGCTTTCTTCATTAGTTTATCTCGTAGATGGGAAGGAGCAGGTTGAAAGTGTTTAAATAACTTGCCTTAGGTCACTTAAGTCTCCAAATTCAGGATTTTCCCTCTAGGATCCTCACAGACCTTTAACCAAGTGCACTGGTGTTCATGTTTTGGAATCTTGCCAATGGTAGTTGACTGAAATAAGCATTTATTTAGCACCTGTGTAGCCTGGCTGTGCACTAGAGGCTGCAGGATGTGGAGATGCAGGATGGGGGCAGGGTGGGGATTTGCTCATCAGTGGACCAAGATGTGCTGGGTGAAGAGCCAGGTGGGTTCACTGCACTGTGTACCATAGGATCCTGGAGGAGGATGTAACAGAGCTGAGTTGAGGAGGATGGACTGACCAGTGACCAGTAGGTGGAGGGCATCCCAGGTAGAGGTTATAGCACCACACTGAAGCCTGTGGAGGCCAGAGGGATTAGGCTAGGGCAACGTGTAAGGGTCTAGCCTGGAAGGACTCTGGGCCTTAGGACACAGTGAAGGTGGGTTAAACAGGGAAGTGATGTGATCAGATTCGCAGCTACCATCAGCCTTTATAGTGCAGGATCAATTTTCTCACTCACCCAGACCCTGACCATGGATCTGTAGGGTATTTTTTTTTCCTTCCTTTTCCCTAGATGGCTCTGCTTCTTGTGATGCAGTTAATGATGCCTGCAGGGACATGAACTTTCTCTGTTTAGTGCTGAATCTCATTACCTTAAGCTTACTTATTCTTAGTTTTGCCCCAGGGATCTGGGACAAGAGATCTGTTTCCTTCAGGGCATACTTTGTCTTTCTTCTTTTCTATCTGTTATCCTGGCCTGTGCTCAGCACACATTTGGTGACAGTAAGCCAGGGTCTGTGCTAGGTTTGGGAGCTGCTATGATGACCATGACCCTGTCCTTTGGCAAGAGGAGAGGGGAGGCTCTAGTAAGTCCCTTGCTGAGGCAGAATTATAAAAAAATGAGTGGCCTTCTATCAGGAGTCTGTCACAGAGTTGGGCAGCCACAGTAGACCTCCTGTTTCTTGTCTGAACGTTTTACCCACCTCTCATTCTGCATATCCTTCTAAAACTATGACTGAATTCTACAGGCTTTTGAAATTTCAACACCATTTATTATTAGGTGTCGTTTTTTAGGGCAGTGGTTTAGTGTTTTCTCCTTCCTGTTTTTCAGTTGTATGTGTGTCTTCATGTATGTGTTGCGTATACTTGTGAATATCTCTCTGAATCTTTGTGTGTGTGCAAGCATGTGTGTGTGCAGGTGTCATAGGAAAGAGAATGAGGAACAGAAATCAGAACAGTTTTATCCCACATGACTGGTATGAACAGAAACTTTGTACAATATGTCTACTGGAGCACAGTATTCCCCCAAACTTGACCACACATCAGCCATGTCGGGAGCTTGGTTGGCATACAGATTCTTGGGTTTGTTACAGAGATTCTGATTCTGTGGGTTTGGAAGAAGGTCCCAGAATTCGAATTTTTAGTAAATGTTCCAAATGACTAGGAAGTGGCCTTTTGGTGGATGGCATTTGGGGGGTAGATGAAGAATGCCGACTCTTGTTTTTGTTGTGTGGTTACCTTGTATGAACATGGCCAAATGATTTTCTTCTTGAGTGTGCTCACAGACCTAAGCTGGTGTGAACCTTTGCATTCATGAAATAACAATTACTGAAACCATGTGTAACAAAATCACAGACTATTTCACGTGTATTAGCTCATTTAATCTTTACAACAACCCATAAGGGAGACAATACATTTTTGAAAATGAGATTGAGTAATTAGATATTTGGGCCAAAATAACAAGGCTTTTCATGGGAGCATTAGGATAAGAATAAAATAGGAATGTTCTGGGGACTGCCTGCCTCCTACTTTTTCCCTGCTATTAAGCTTAGTAGATAGCCACTTGTGGGTGATACAGCTAGGCTGGACATGTTATGAGCTCCCCATTAGATTTCCAGAGCTTCTCTACCGTTGGAATGTTCAGTGTGTGTGTGTGTGTGTGTGTGTGTGTGTGTGTGTTCAGGTGTGTGATTGTGGGTACACATGTGCCATGGTTCACATGTGAAGGTCAGAGAACAATCTAGGTGTTGATTTTTGTCTTCCGCCATGTTTGAGATGGGGTCTCTTTTGTTGCTTTTCTGCTGCATAGCTCCAAGTATTGTCTCTGCTCTCATCTTGCTGTAGGATCATTTAGGATTACACATGTGGACTTCCATGTCATGTCCTGCTTTATGTGGGTTCTAGAGATTTGAACTAATATCCTCATGCTTATGTAGCAAGTACTTTATACACTGAGCCATCGCCTCAGCCTCAAGTTGTTAACAATAAGAATTCAGGGGAGCTGAAGGGATGGCTCAGAGTTAAGAGCACTGGCTGTTTTCACAGAGGACCCGGGTTCGACTTCCAGAACCCACATGGCAGCTAACAACAGTCTGTAACTCCAGTTCCAGGGGGGATTTGATGCCATCTTCTGGCCTCTGTGGGCATTGCATGACATGGGTACACTTATACACATACAGGCAATAAACTCACATAGATTAAAAAAAAAAGAATTCAGATGGTACATTTGTCTATCATTGGGAAAAATTCAGGTTTTGAGTGAGTTCAGTACACTAGGCTTGTATGAAATATGCAGTCATGGGTGAAACTTTTTCTGAATATGCTGAGGCCTTGGGGAAATTTTCATCCTGCTGAAGCTTCTTCCCAGTGTAGGGATGGGAACAAAAGGGTGGTTTCTTTCCTACTTATGAAGTATTATGGCCCACACCCCTATAACAAAAGAGGCATTAACAAGAGAAAACCAAAGCAAACTCAGTTGATGGTAGTTTTATATGCCACAGGAGCCTTTAGATTAAAGGTTCAAAGACCCAGTGTGTACCATCTAAGATATCTTGGATCTGATGGAGAACTGATAGCTGAATAGAAATACTAATGGAAAAAGGGACCAAATTCAGTGTTGGTAAAGGGAGTGGGGAGCTGGAGGGCCAGGCACTTTAGATTCTTTTAACCTCCCTGAGCAGCATTCTTTCCTGCAGGTTTGGGCAGGACCCTTTATGGAATGAAGGTCTTATGATCTACTATCAGAAAAGGTAGGTCAGAGAATTTCTTATGACCAGCTCTAACACACAAGGAGTGTGTTAGATTAGTCTTTTGAGGCTTTATGGCTTGCTTCAGGGAAGAGAAATTCTAGGTTCTTCTTACCCTTGAGAAGACAAGGAAATAGGAGAAGTTCATGGAGAGACTTTGTTTCTGAAGTCTTCACTTTGGGGAATTGTCTTTTGCTGTTGTTATTTATTTATTTTTTTTGTGAGCCCAAATACCAGCATGGTGGAGAGGGTCTGTTTATTTTCCAAAGCAAGGGCAGTAGACTTTCTGCCCAAGATATCTTCAGAGAACTTGAGAATGGTGTAGAGATGGGAGAGGGCTCCTGGGCTGGGGACTGCCCAACTCTTAGATCCTGCAGGGCAGGCTGCTTCCATGGGGATTCAGTTGAGGTCTGGTGCTCACTCTGTGCTAGGAAATGTTCCCTTTGCCTAGTGATAATGTCTTCACAAGAGGCCTAATATAACCTATGCCCACTGGGTCACAATCTGAGTGGTGTGGACAAGGACAAGATGTGCTACAGTCCTGACTAAAGAAAGTAATTGGATTATTTTTTCTTAGTTTCAAGAAGGACTGGTTCTAAGCACTGAGGTGATAATCTAGTCAGTAAAGTGTTTGCCTACTTGCTGCATAAACATGAATACCTGAGTCCCCAATAGCCATGTGAAGTCAGGCATGGTAGTATGCACTTGGAATTCCAGCTCTGGAGAGGCAGAGACAGGAGGATCCGGCTAGCCAGGCTAGTTGAATCAATGAGTTCCAGGCTAGTGAAAGACCCTGTGTCATAAAACAAAGTGGGGGGCTGGGGAAACAGCTCAGTTGGTAAAGCGCTTGCCACACAAGCATGAGAACCCAAGTTGGGATCCTCAGCACCTATCTAAAAAAGCCAGCTACCGCAGTGTGTATCTGAAATTGCAGAG